GCAAGCCAACAGGCGAGTATTAAATATATAATCCCCGAGAGGCCCCCAACAGGGTCTGGTAGAAGTAAAAAGAAATGTACGAGGTAGTCCCTGCACATGGGACCTAAACATGGGACACAAACTCACACACAGGCTGGTGGCACAGACAATGTGAATGGGCTGGGTGTAGGCAAGAGGGAGCAGTGGAGCCTTCAGTGAACTGAAGACAGCATGCTCACTCGGAGACCTTCCGCTCCTCAGCCCCAACCTTTCCTCTCATAGAAGGGTATGCCCTAGAGCAAACCCATAGATATTCTGGGTTTTAAAAAGAAACCAGAAAGTCTACAGCCTGAGCAAGAGCGAGACCTTGTCTGCACAAAAAAGAGAGAAATTACCCAAGCATCGTGGCACATGCTACTTGCGAGGTTGAGGCAGGAGGATTGCTTGAGCCCAGGACTTACTTTGAGGTTGCAGTGAGCTGTGATAATGCCACTGCTCTCTACTCAGGGTGACAGAGCAAGATCCTATCTCCAAAAGAAAAGTCTATATTTCCTGCGTTTTAAATAAAGGAAGGAAGGAAGGAAGGAAGACAGGCCAGCCAATTAGTCATTAAGGCCAACAAGACTCATCTGTAGCTGACTCCTGTCCCTTGGAATGACAGTTTGCAACCTATTTCTTAACAGGTCACCCCATCCAGGCTCCTTTGAATTCTTGAGTCCCCTCTAGGGCACTGCAGAGTGGCCCAGAGGGTGAGGGGTCCTGTCTGACACGTTGTTTGTCAAGTGTTTGGTAGGTGTCTATGTGTGCAAGGGCGGAGCCTCTGCCCTCCCTCCTCTCCCAACTGAAAATGCATTGCAGGCCCACAGGCAGGGTGTGGCCATCACAGCCACAGCAGCCAGTTTGCTCCAAGAAGAGCAGCCAGGAAGGGCCAAGATCTTCAGGCCAATAGGGACAGCAGAAGGAAAAACGGAGGAAGGGTACCTCGAGAGATAGTTGGAGAGCAAAGTTGTCTTGAAGAGGAATGCTGGAAAGGACAGAAGAAAGAGGCAAGAAAGAAGCAACAGCTCTAACAATCATATAACCCAGGAAATGACATCCCCAGACCTCTGGCTGGCCACCAAGTTGAGCAGTCTTGCCGCTGTCCACCCCCTTGGTCCACTTAATTTTTCTTCCTGGTACTGACACTACCTGACCTTTCCTATTGTATATTAACTTGCCTATCTTTGGATGCCCTCCCTACGATGCACGGCTCCGAGGGATGTGCAACCTCCTCCACTTTGTGCATAGTTCAATTCCCAGCGCCTAGGTACTCAACAAGTATCAGCTGAACAAATGGACAGCAGGCAGTTGGCACCAAAACAGTTTGACAATGTGAGTCAGCTTTAGAATAGTAACAACATCCACACAAAGCACTTCATAGTTCACAAAACCTGTTGTTTAACTTGATTCCTCCAGTTTTCTTTCACTAAAGTGCTTTGTGCATTTGGTCACAGCCCAGGAAACTGACCACTTGGTGGCCTCTGCAAACTAGACAGCCCAGAGCCATCTGTGACAGAGCTGCCTGCATGGTGGCTTGGCCTGCACTCTCCCTGGGGCATGAGAGATGATAGGGCGGTAGAACTGCAGGGCTCAGCACTAATTGGGCAGTGTCATTGAAATCATCAAGTGTCTGGGGCCAGGTTCAGGTTCATGTGGCCTCCCCAGACCAATAGAACTCTGGTTAGATGCCTGGAAGGGGTATAGAATTCTTGAGTCCCATCTATGGACTGCAGAGTGGCCCAGAAGGTGAGGGGCCGGAGGCAGCACAGCACGTGGTTAAAGCTTCACCTCTGAAGCTAGACTGTTCATTCCCAGCTAGTGACCTTGGACCTCTCTAAGGCTTATGGACCTCATCTGTATGTGAGTACAATGACAACGGTAACACTTCCTAGGGTTCAAGTGAGGTACTTTACAAACAGTGCCTAGTACCCTGCCTGGTGCTTAGCTCAGCACAAGTGGAAAATGGCTGTTACAGCAGCAGCACTGTCACTGTCAGTCACCCAGGCCCCAGCGCTGCCACTTCCCAGAAACATGACACTGAGTGACTTGACCTCCACCCTAGAACTTGAATTTCTCTTCTCTAATATGGGGATAACCTGGGGGTCACCAGGATTGGGTGAGGAATAAACAAGACCATACATATTAAGTATTTAGTGCATGGGCTGGTACATGTGAAATATTTAATAGATGTGAGTTAGTATCTTATTATTCGAGAAACTTTGACTAGTCTAAAATGCCAATGTGAAAATCCACGGGAGGCAATTTGCCACATGCAAATACGTCTTTGCAACACAAGTTGTTCAGCTGCAAGTTTCTCTCCCCAACTCCCATGGGTCTTTAGTTGCTCCAAGAATCAGGCCTCTCTGCTCCCGGGGTTTGACCTAAGAAGCATTTGAAGGTCAGTTCCCAGTGCAGGGCTGGCCTCCCTCTATGCCAGCACGATCCTCGCATCTCCATCTGCCTCTTCGCCCCCACAACAACTGCAGTCTGGCAGCGGGAGAGGACATGCAAATATGCCCTAAAAACAGCTTGTTATTTTCACGGCCTGGATGGTGCACGTCTGTGGGTGCCTGTGAGGACAGCGCGTCACTATCAGGTACAGGGCATATGCCACCAATTTGGGGGTGGCTGTAAAACGTAAAAATATCCAACCCAAATAAAGACCTTTTCCAAAGAAAAGTTCCTTCAGTGCCTTTTGCGGCAGAGAAAGGTGGCAACTCTGGCCCCCACACAAACGCCAGCTGGGCAACCCCCGCCCAAGGCACCTGGCTCTTCACCAACCCCACGCCCGGCCTCAGCACCCCCATGAAACTGCTTAGCTACTGGCTCTAAATGGCATTTTTGTTACAGAATGGCCCAGAAACAGATGCTTTCAGGTTATGTGCGTAGGAAGATGACTAACAGAGGGCCTCAAGACCAGGGTCCTCCACAAAGAAGACAGAACACTAAACAAGTCAGGAAGTAATATGAACAGGACGTTGACTTACAAGATCAATTCAGAAGAATATGTGGGGCATGGCCCGGCGCAGTGGCAGGCCAGGCCTGTAATCCCAGCACTCTGGGAGGCTGAGGCAGGTGGCTAGCCTGAGCTCAGGAGTTCAAGACTAGCCGGAACAAGAGTGAAACCCCATCTCTACTAAAAATAAAATAACTAGCTAGGCATTGTGTTGGGCACCTGTAGTCCCAGCTACTCAGGAAGCTGAGGCAAGAGGATCGCTTGAGCCCAAGAGTTTGACATTGCTGTGAGCTATGACACCACAGCACTCTACCCAGGGAGAAAAGAACAAGACTCTATTGCAAAAAAAAAAGTGGCTCATTATGAAATTTTTGAGATACACAAAAAATCAAGAAATGTAAAATCTATGCAGATGGAAAGGAACACTGATAAACTGAGCAAGTTGAAACGTGCACGGGTGAATCAGAAAGCAGGCTGTTGACTGTGTTTCTTGGAAGTGAAATAATGGACCATAACATAGACTTTCATAGTGATCGCCACATAATCCCAGTCAACTCTCATCTTGCAATCCACAGTTTGTAGTGTGCACCTACGATGTACCTAATCTAGGTGTCTCCGTACAGGTGGCTACAGCAAGGACCAGGTAGTGGAGGTAAAAGGAGGCAGGTGGTGGTAACAAAAGCAAAACTAACAGTGTAAGCAGGATTAAGAATAATAGGGAGGTGCAGGGGCCTGCCGCAAACCAGAGAGAGCAACAAAGTGAAGTGACTCTGACCATCCCATTAGCTGTTGCCATGCCGGAACAGGGCCGTGTGGGACCAGATCTTCCAATTTCTTAATCAAAATTTTCAAGTGAAATGTGGGTTTGAGTTTCTTTTAAAACACTGTACTGGCCAAACAAAACACATCTGAGAGCCAGATCCAGCCTGCAAATGGCCAGTATGCCACCCCAGCCAAGCCCCCAGCAGTCCTTCTCTGCAGTTTTTATGGCTCTTACGGGGAGAAAGGGAGCTGAGAAGTAGTTGCACAATATCCCCAACTCTCCCCTGTTGGTATTCAGACACCTTTCTCCATTCAAGAATCCCTCTCTTTAGCACTTCCAGCGCTTTTTCCCTCTGAGCTCCCCAGGCACCTTTGCTTGTGAATGTTCTCCAGGCAGAGCGCTAGCACCTGACACTCAGCTGCTTCCCATGCCCTGCCCACCCCAATCTCTCACCGCCCACCACGGGCTCCTTCTCCCTTCCAGGTGGCAGCGCCTCTGGCAGACTTCTGAAGAAATGACCCTGCTGGGGCCTTACTGGGGCGAGTGACTAGCCCTGCGCTTACAGTAGCTGGGGGGCATGCCCTGCACTGATCCTCTGCCATGCTGGGGACTTCTGCCGCTCAGCAGTGCCTCAAGAAAAGCTGGTGAGAGCTGCAGGTGCAGGGCACCTGAGGAGGGGGTGTTCCACATGTGGGTCCTGTGCAAACACCATCTAAGGCAGATGATAGTGGCTGACCAAGATCATGCCTTGCTCTTGGCAGCTGCTTAGGAAGGGAGGCCACGACACTCTCCTTCCAAGTTCCCTCATTCAGCTACAGATAGGGGCCAAGAGGGGTGGAGGCCATGATATGACTAATGATGACAATTTTTAAAGATAATCCAATATTGGCATTCCCTTGCATACTATTCAAAACACATGCACATTTCCATTATCTTGCCTAACTCCTCCACCAACCCAGAGAGACCACTGAGCCATTATCACTCATTATTATTATCATTATCACTCTTGCCCTGCCCCTGGGAGACCCAGACATAGGTTCAGCATCCTACCCCAGCCCAGTGTGTCTCAAACTTTATTAATTCCATGAATCCTTCAGGATCTTTTAAAATGCAGATTCTTATTCAGGAGGTCATTTCCAGTAAGTCTTGGATGGCATGGAAGCTACCAGGCCTCAGCCCATACTTTGAAAAGCATGGCTGTTCCATGGCAGGTTTAGAGCCAGAGCTGGGATTCTAACCTGGGTCTCCTTCCCTAAAACTCACCTCACTTTTCACGGGCTGGGGCCTCTTGCCCAGCTTCACCTCCAAGAAGTGCAAGGGTGCGATCATGGCCCCGAGGTTGCGGATATCGGCGTATTTCAGCTCCTCTGCAGTCAAGGCTGAGCTGGGGAGTCCGGTCAGAGGGCCGAGCCCTGGCAGAGAGCCCGCTGTCACGGAAGGGTCTGGGATCTGCCCAGGCATCATAGCAGGAGGAGTGGCAGGCCAGCCTGGAGCAGGCGAAAGAAGAGCAGGACAGGCACAGTTAGCCAGAGAAGAGGTTCCAGGAGGGCTTAAGCCTCTTCTCTTACTAGGACCCGCCACTTCTTTCACTGTTCCCCTGAGTCCCTTTCTCACCCAGTTTCTCTTCCTGCCCTAAGTTCTTCCTGTTACAGAAAACTTGATCAATTCATTCACACCAAGGTTATATTGACACTGCCAGGAGTGTTTTCCTTTCTCTTTCTTTTTTTTTTTAAGATAATGCTTAACCCAATCACAGGCAACCCTGATTCAGCATTTGCTCTGCACCTGCACTGGGGTAATCCCTCCACTAGCCCCATTAGACCAGATCAGAGACCATTACACAGAGGCAGAAGCTGCGGCTTAGAAAGATAAGTCCCCCAAGGTTACACAGTTAAAACTGTTGGAGCTGAGATTTAACTGGCAACACACAGCCTCTGAAGAGAGTGAATTATCATGGTGGAATCTCAAGCACATTTGCACCTGTTAAAGAGAGAGCTATTTTTGGGCTGGCATGGTGCCTCCCCTCAAGTCACACATCCTATTCTGCATACTTGTTAAGACACTCTGAATAGATGAAGCAAACCTAAGTTAAAGAGTGTGTGTGTGTGCGTGCACAGTACCAGAAAATTCCTTCAGTCTCTTCATTCTCAGAGCAAACACATGTTCTAGCTCTGCCAGATCCAAAAGGTTTATAAGGGAGGCAGATTCAGCCATGAAAGGACATAAATTAGATCAACACAAAGTGAATTCTTATTTCTTCCTTCCCTTTATTGGGGGAAGTTCATGGATGAAGAAATGGTCACTTCAAGGCTCTGATGACAATAAAGAAAGCTGGCCTGCTAGTAAAGCCATCTAGTCCCTTAAAGGGCTCCTATCTATCTATTTATCTGGTTACTGACCACCTATTATAAGCCAGCAGGCCCTGGGAACATGGAGGTCAGATGGGCACAGTCTTAGCTGTTAAGCAGCATTTCAGTAGCATTTTGGTAAAAAACTGTGCCTGTATTTGAGTCCTGTAAATAAAATCATTTGTCCCTCTTCCTACCTTTTTGCCCAAGGCCATAAAATCAAAAGCCCCACTGTCTTAGAAATCCATAGGGAAAATATTCAGTCCATCCTTCCATCTCTATCTGTCTCTTTCCATGGAGAGAGATATGTATTTGGGGAGAGAGAGATGGATGTGCAGTCCATCAGACCATGCTTCTGGTTGGGCCACCCTGTTCTTAGGTTATCTGCCTCCCACAGCAGTGGCCCTGGAGGGTGACTCATAACCAGCTGCCCCATTCAGGTACTCAGGTCTAGCTCATTCAAGAAAATAGCATATGTGAGCCCATTTTGGCCACAAGTGCAAACCACATTCTCCATCTTCATTCACTTTCGACAGTGAAATTCAGTTCCCTGTCCAAGTTTGGTGTCTATTTCTTGGAAGGTTTGCACTCCCAGGGGGAAAGCATGAAAGAAATCTGCACCCTTGAACCACAAAGCCTTCACTGGACATCACTTTGTTTAAAGAAAGGTACGTGGGATGGACAGTGGACCTGCCATTTCATCCTCAGCACACCTGCTATATCTGTTGGGGGAGCCATCTGCCCACAGCTCCCTGCCTCACACCAAAGTTGATACTTGGTGTCCCCAGACTTCTTTTTTTTCTTTTTGGGATAGGATCTCAATCTGTCACCTCAGCTAAAGTGCAGTTTCATCATCATAGCTCACAGCAACCTCAAAGTCTGGGGCTCAAGTGATCCTCCTGCCTTTGCCTACTGAGTAGCTCTGATTACAGGTGCCCATCGCCATGCCTGGCTAGTTTTCCTTTTTGCAGACACCAAGTCTCACTCTTGCTCAGGCTAGTCTTGAACTCACAGCCTCAAGTGATCCTCCTGCTTTGGCCTCCCAAGCTCTAGGATTACAGGCATGAGTCACCATGCCCAGCCTCCCAGGCTCACGTATGCTCCACCTAATACATCTTCCACACGTGGTGCCCTCATCGCCTCCTGTCCACCCACATCTCTTCTCCCCCTGCTTAGCACCCAGTGTCCCCTGGGCCATTTTTGAAACAGATCTGAGACTCAGCCACACAGAGTTAGGCATTCTCAGAGCCAGAGGAAACCCTATGTTCACCTAAACCAAATCCTCATTTGGGCAGGAAGAAACTAAAGCTTAGAGAAGTCAAACAACCCACTTATCCTCAAACAGATAGAGAGAACACAACCAGGGCTAGATGCCTGGTCTCTGGATATTGGGACCAATGCTTTCCCATTCAGCCTTGTTTGTTCCCCCTCCTGGGGTTGAAGAGGTGTTGATGCCTTTGAGAGAAGCAATAACCTTCTATAGGGGACTTTCAGACTCCAGTCGACAGGAGAGGATCATTCTCTTGCACAGAGGACCCTCTACCTCCCACACAGATCCAGGTTTAGAAGTTCCCCATGGTCGTCTGGGTGGGAGTCCAGACATAGAAATAGCCCCTGAGACCTCCCACATGTGGGTGCTCGGTGTGCTGTGATCCTCCCAGACACTGAACTGCTCTGGAGTCCAGGGGCAGCAAGAGAGCCCACCTCCACTAAAAGAACTGAGCCTGCAATGTAGAGAGGGTTGTAGGCTGCCACGCCACGAGGCTGTTCCAGGGCACCATGGAGAAGCTGCATGTTCCCTCCTGCCCTCCTCTAGGGAGAAAAGGAAAGGGGCCAGTGCAAGGACCCATTGCTATGTGGCAAAACTGTCCCTGGGCCTAATTGCTGGCAACTGTGTGGCCACTTGGCAATTGAAGATCTCATTTCTAGTGGCCAGCATAGTCACAGCTGGGTGCTGCCCAGGTGACCTCAGTGCTCAGTATCATTTCTAGCACAGAAAGGGTCATTCAGTAAATATTTGTTTGAATAAGTAAGTGAACAAATGAGCAAACAAATGATAAACTCATGGCAAAGCAAAATTCAGCAAGTAGCATAAAAATCAGATGGTCATTATTAGGGGATAATTCCATCTCCAGTAGACCCCAAGAAAAATACTCCAGAGGCTTCTATATGTTTCCCCGCCTAAGCCACCTCCAGGGGATAGAAGCCAGAACCCCCTCCATCCTGCAGGAATGATAGTCTCTGCTTGCCACTTCTGTTTATTTTCATACAGACACCATAAATAAGACACTAACAAATGACCTCAAATGTAATGAATTTTCTGCTACTGTGGCTTTGGAGCAGTGGCCCCACAAATTCTCGCCCTTCCCACTCCACAGTGAATCCATCCCAATAACAAGCCTCTCCCAGAGGACCAGGCGCCAGCCTTTGAAGAAGCAAAGATCCTCCTCTCTCTACTTCCCCTGCAAGGGATCCCCGAACTGCTCAGATACAAACCACAAAGTCCTTAACCATGACATTCCTAAGAGACAACCAGACAACCACAACAGCTGACATTCACCGTAGAGAAGTCATCCTAAACATCTCTGGGGGTGGGGTGCAGGAGACGGAGGAGCAGGGTGGCTGCCCTTCGTAATTACATCCTCAGTAACTGCAAAGAGCTGGCTGACGATCTAAGGCTAAAAGGCAACTTCAGGCTCGGCGCCTGTGGCTCAACCGGCTAAGGCGCCAGCCACGTACACCTAAGGTGGCGGGTTCGAATCCCCAGCCC